CTTCAAAGCATGAATCTTAGCAAGAGGATCTTGATAAGAAAAGAAGATTTTGAAGGAGAATTCACCTTAATAAGCTTACATAAGAAACTCATGTATTTAAGTTCTAATGTTGAAGTATTGAAGTTTCTATGTTGATTGACATAAAGATAGCTAACTTGTTTATGAGTCCAACTTATGCTAAGAGGTTAAAATTGATTCAAGAACAAATAAAGGAAGTAAAGGTGACTTTTTTTCCAAGGTGGAAAAATAACCAACTTGGTTATACATGATATAAAGTTTAAGTACATAAACATAAGATTCCAAGAAGACTGCTCAATATGCAACCTTAATAGAGAGGATGTATTAATAAAAAATACTTTCTTAGACTTCTATAGAATAGAATTTTTATAGAAATCCAAAGTGAGAGTAGTCATGGTTGAAAAGAATGGAAAAGTATTAGACTTATCATCCACAAACTCCTTCATGTTATATCAATTTAGGATCTTTATAATTTTTCAAAGTAAGTTAGAAAGAAAGTAATTCTTTTTATACTTGAAAAGGAGTGATTTTAATTTTGAATGTAAAAAATTATTTTCCTTATAATAAAAAAGAGTTGTTAAAGACTACTTTACACTTTGTAAAACTTCTTTAAAATCTTGTAATAGATTTTGGAAATGTATTAACAAATGAACTTCCAAAAGAACTACTACCTAATAGATTGGTGGATTATAAGATAGAATTAATTTCAAGTATACAACCTCCAAGTAAAGCACCTTATAGATTGAATTAAATAGAGTTAAATAAACTGAAGATGTAACTCAATGAGTTGCTTGAAAAAAAATATATTAGATAAAAAAATCTTTGTTTGGAGCTTTTGTCTTTTTTGTAAGTAAGAAAGATGGAAAAATAACAATATGTATTGATAATAAGGTCTTAAATAAGATCGCCATTAAAAAAAAATATTTACTTCCTAGAATTCATGATTTATTGGATAGATTGAATGTTACTAAGTGTTTTAGTAGGATTGATCTTAAGAATGGTTACTATCAAATAAGAGTTGTCAAAGAAGATATAGAGAAGACTACTTCTAAAACCAAATATGGTTCCTATTTGAATTGTGTAATGCTCCTGCTACCTTTACTATCTTGATGAACTCTATCTTTCATTAAAAAAAGTGGTAAATTTGAGGTAGTCTACATTAATGATATTTTGATCTTTTCCAAGAACAAAGAAGAATACAAGCTACATTTGAAAGTAGTCTTAAATAAAATAAAAAATAATCAACTCTATGCCAATATGGAAAATAATATTTTTTATTTCAAAGAGTTAAAATTCTTAGGACATCTTATCAATGGAAATGAACTAATGCTAGATCCAAAAAAGATAGAAGGAATCTAAAGTTGGGAGATACAAAAAATTCAAAAAAAAAAATAGGTCTTTTATATGATTAATTAATTATTATAGAAAGTTCATAAGAAACTTTTCAAAGATTGTTAGTTCTCCCACAAGTCTTGTTAAGAAGAATAAAATAATCATCTCATAAAATTTAGAATGTAAAAAATCTTTTCAAGAGATAAAAGATGCTTTAGTATCGAATAACATCTTATTCTACTGCAAGTTTGATATAGAATTTGAAGTCCATATAGATGCAATTGACTTTGTAATTAGAAGAGTTCTAATACAAGAAAGAAGACTTCTAGCTTTTTAAAAGTAAGAAGTTTAATAGAAGTCAATTGAAGTGGCCAACATATGAGAAGGAGATTTTTATAGTATTATATTGCTTGGAAGCTTAAAGACACTACTTCAAAAGTAGGACAACCAAAGTATATATTGATAACATTTCTCTTAAGTACTTTACTTCAAAAATCTAAGCTTCTCCTAAAGAGTTGAGGTGTTATGATGTGATAATGTCAATGAATACTGAATTTATTCACAAACAAGGCAAAGACAACTTGGTGCCAAATCTACTAAATAGAAGAGAAGAGTTCATAGAGAAAAAGCTTTATGATAAAATTATACTAAAGATAATAGTGTATTGTGATGATACTATAGTCATAAAAGATATTAAGAAAGGTTATGAATAAGATGAAGATGCACTTGAAAAAAAAAAAAAAAAAAAAAAAAAAAAAAAAAAATCTACTCAAATCAAAACTACAAGAAAATAGTAAAGACTTATGAGAATTTCATTTATAAGAGATGGAATTATTTGGTTTAAGCAAAATAGATTCTAAATACCATAAGGCAAGTAGAGAAGAAAAATAATGTATGAAGTATATGATTCTTTATGTGAAGAACATAGAGGTATAAAGACCACATTTAAAGATATGACAAAATCTTATTATTATCCTTCTATAAGAAAAGATGTAGATAAATATGTAAAAAAAATTGGTATTTCAAAGGAATAAACATTCTATACATTAAAAGTATGACTTTTGGAACCATTGCCAAATCTATTTCTATGTTATAGACATGTTTTATTAAATTTTATAATTAGCTTATCAAAGTATAGTGAAGCTAATTTTATACTAATATTTTTTAATATATTTAAGAAGATTGTTAGATTTATATCTATAATTATGTTTTTTAAGGATTCAAAAGAAGAAATTAAAACTATCTCAAAAATTATTATAAGCCTTGTCTTTGATTGTTGAATTTTTATATATGAAAAATCAATATCAATTATGAATGATAGAAATGTGAAATTTATAATTTAATTTTGACAATATGTGATGAAAAAATTTGCTTCCAAAATAATACTAATAATTTTTTGGCATCCACAAGGAAATGGCCAAACTAAAAGACTTAATGGAGTTCTTTCAATATACCTAAGGCACTATGTAGCAAGTAACCATAAAAATTGGATTAAATGGTTGCTCATAGCAAATTTTAGTTATAATACTATTCAAAGTATTTCTTTAGAAAACACACTTTTCTAAGTAGCTCTTTGTTTCAATGCTTTTAGGCCAATTGACTTGATAAGAATTAGGCAAAGTGATGAAACAACTTTTGGTTTTTATTCAATACAAGGAGTAAGGTAGATAGCTACAAGAAAGGCCATAATGAAAATTGTCAAAGCTAGGCTAGAAGTAGTCTAAAGAAGATATAAGAAACAAACTAATAAATATAAGAGAGATGTACACTATGAAAAATGAAACAATGTATGATTGAATACTTTATTTGCCTACCACATCTCACTTCTAAATAGAGCCAAAAATGGGCAGATCTTTATGAAATTGAAAAGGTCCTATATAAGAATGTATATATGTTAGATATACCAAAGATATTGAAGTGGCATCCAATTTTTTATGTGAATGTCCTTAAGTTTGTAGAGGATATAAAAGGCTTCAATAAAAACAAGGCAAAGATCCTACCTCAAGAAGACATGTGGAATCAAACTATGGATCAAATAGAAGCAATACTTGATAAATATATGAATATGAGAGGAATTCAATACTTATATACTTTCAAAGATTATCCTCCACATGAGTTTCAATGGATAAATGAAATGAACTTAAGATATATATAAGGATTAGTCATGGCTTTCAAGAAAAAAGTAGATGACTATAGAAAATGGAGGACCATAAAGAAACAAATCAAAAATCACTAAAAGTGATTCTTTGATAAAAGTTGTGGGAGGCAAGTGAAGGTGATTAAAGAAGATGAAGAAATCTTCACTCCAAAGTAGATGAAGGTCACAATCCTATATGATAATAAAAGATATAGGTATCTATAAGCCGAAGTATAAGAAATCCCAATAACACCAAATAAGCAAGATATGTTAGAGGTAAATACTACTTGAAAAAAGTCTAGGTGAAATATTTTAAAAGACTAAGGTGGAAGAAGTTTTTAAGAGATAAAAGATTTGAAAGAATTCCAAGTCAAGAGAACTTTGTAGAAGAAAACCTTAAGAAGTTTATATGATGTAAATATAAGATTCTAAGCAATGAAGCTTGAATGATTGGCCTTTCCTAAATGGATCTCTTATTGAGTAATTGGAAGTCACTTTGATAGGATAAGGAAGAGTACTCAGATGAAGCAAGTCTTAGTTAAGAAATTCAATAGTTGTGGCAAAGTCTAAGTGAGGATGCAAGTCTTTATGTTTCACGTAAAAAAATGTAAACTTTCAAATCAAAAGAATTGAAAGAACTTTAAAAATTTTAAGAAAAAAAAAAAGAAGTTATACAAGAAACACAAGATAGAGGTAGCATCCTATTTCAATAGGTAATTAAAAAAATCTCAATTCCTGAGAAAAGGACAAATAAACTTGAGGCTGGGTAAAAACAAGCCTTTAAGCTACCTATAGAAAAAATGATGTAGTACAAGACATCTCTTAAAAATAAATTTTGAAAAAAACTAACTTCTTAAGCAAAATATCAAATTGTGTATTAATGAGGACATTGACTCTTGAAAGTGGAAGAAGGTGTGAGGGTCAAAAAAGTTTGACCCTCTCACTTGCTTGTTAAAATATTCATAAAGAAAGAAGAAGTTAAAGCTTTGTGAGCCAAGACACCCCCAATGCCCATAGGAGTACAACAGCTAGGTGGGAATGGAGAGATTGGGAGGGCCACCTTCCCTACCCCGGGGTTCACATTGTGAGGGGACCCCTGAGGTTCACACTGTGCAGTGGAGAATGTTAGAACCTGAAGATGAGTCCCAGATGCCTCGGAAAGAGACTCCATGACCCCTGTTCCTTAGAATCTAAAAGTTTGATTTAGGCTTAAGTGAAAGGGTCCGGAGTTGCCCCCCAGTTGACTGAAATTAGCGGAAGACAACCCCCAAGTGTTGGCTACAAGAGGACGTATTGCGACACAAAGTTGCGACGTGATGCAACTAAGGGCCGCCACACGACTGGATCCTAGATTGGATTCCAGACTGATTCTGTCTTGTTTTAGAACTAAGTGGTAACTTGGTGGGGCAGTTTTGGGATTGTTTTAAGATTATTTTCAAGTCAAGCAACGTTGTTTTTATTGGGTGTTTTCAGAATTGAAAAGGAGGTCAAAGTGAAGCGAAGTTACACTGCATTGCACACACGAAAATCAGAACCAAGTCCTGCTTAACTAGCATGATTATGAACTTGCTTCACCTATTATTGAGCTGCTGTGCTTGCACTTGCAGCGAGGATTCTCAAATTAGTAGTTACATTTGGAACAACTCCTTCTCTTTGCATCTCGAGAAAGAGGGAAAAGGGTTCATGTCCAAGCCCATTTTTGTGCAAGTCCACCAATCATTGCAGACCCCCTGATTACATCAGGATCCAGCATTCCATCGAAAACGAGCCTAGCATCATCAACTTTGGCATTCTTAGAATACATGTAAACTAGCGCATTCTACACACACATGTCTGAATCAAATCCAGCTTTGAAAGTGTGACGATGAACCTCCTTTACCCATCGCAAAGCCCCCGCGCTAGTGCGTACAGTTGCAGTGAGGATGCTTAAATAATTAGTTGCATCTGGTACAAACCCTTCTTGCATCTGAAGGAAAAGGGAGAACGCTTCATGCCCATACCCGTATTGTGCAGGTCCACCAGTCATTACATTCCATGTGATTACATTTCGCTCCGCCATTGCACCAAAAGAATATTTTAGCATCCTAAATGCTCGAGTCTATACAGGAACGTAAGATTAAAAACCACTACGCCTGCTATGTGCATGAATTTCTTTGCCCCAGATTGCACCAGCCGGGCAGGCGCATGCTTTCAAAATACTCAAATAAGTCACCTCATTTGGCCTCCCACCTTCTTGACGAACTTGATCATAAACCTCGATTGCGTCAGTAGGACGACTGTGCTCGGCATAACCTCCAACCATGGTTCCCAAACAGTTGTATTAGGTGCATGTTGGGATAGCGTGCCCTCGCTACAAACGAAGGCTTGAAAATTGTTGAGTTGCACAACGACATGTTGATCAGCTATTGCACAAGCTTCCCCCAGTTGTCATCAAATGACATTTGGCATAGCTTCCCCAAGTTGTCATCAATTAATATCACCTTTGACTGCAAAAGTCGAGACCCAGGTCTGAAGTCGATCTGCTCGAACCCATTACAGCACCGTAAGGAATGTCCTGGATTTCAAGTTTTCTTACTGATTTCTATTCGCGGTAGGTTCCACTTCATGCGGTCGAGAAGATTCAGAAGAGACATCTTTCACTGCGATATCCGGCTCTTTGGGAGTGAGATTGAGATCAGAACCCCACGGATCTGTATCATCACATGGACTTATCTTTGCATTAAGACCTGTCTTATCTGGTGTCGAGTGACCAACTTCATAATCAAAATGTCCTTCCGTGCAGCTCTGATTGGTGTCCATGCGAATTATCAGGTCACGGAATATAGCATTCTTCATATCACTATCCAGTATCAAAATCTCGCGTCTCCTCCTCCTCTGATGTTCTCGACAACACAACACCGAAACAGACGTAAATATGACCCACCAAATGAAGTTAACAAAAATACCCAGTCCCACTTGCTCGGCAAGAGTTCGAATGACGTAATCGATGATTGTATCCCACGTAGATTTCTTCTCTGAATCAGACGCCATGGCTTCAACTTCCTAACATCACAAGGTTTGGCCAAATTCAAATGTTATCATTCAACAATGTATAGATTTGCTCATCACAAGTGTTTTCAACCCATGTCAACCAAATAACTGGTCTCTGATTGTGTCGGGTTCAAATTTCTACACCACTGTTAAGCTGTACAGTGAAAGATGTTCACCTGAGATTTGATGCGGGGGCCTCAACCTGCACTGTCAAGCCGCAGCGACAACAAAGTTCGTCGTTTCGTTTCGACCCGACTTCTAAAATAGAAGCAAACGTTTTCGAATCTATTGACTACACATTGCCGAAACCCAAACTTAACTTCTCCGAACCTGAGTGCAGTAACTCAACATTCGTGCATGGGGAGTACCGTCAATACATGGGGTTACATTAGGTTCTACTGTTGCTCGAACTAGCACACCAAGCGGCTGCCACATCAACAGCTGTATAATCTCAAGGAAAGCTGATCTCTCGAGCACGAATACTGCTGGAGAGAATTGTGTCCCCACTTTGCTCCAATTTGATAACTGATGCGAGAAGCCTCGTTCTAACACGACAGGTCCGCAAGCGAGCTCGTCATCACAAAGCTATATGGTCGAAACACCTAAGATCAACAGATGGTAGACAGGATATGAGCCAGTTAACTGAAAGAGGCCACCCTGGAGTGCTTCATTCTTTGTGAATTTGCACCCCGCTTTGCCTCTGTGTGCCTCCAGCTCGACGAGATGATCGAAGACAGGGAGTGCTGTCCATCGAAAAATCGGTAAATCGATGACGATGGAGGGCCCAGTTAACGCAAGCCCTTCGCCGAACTTGCGTGGTCTAGGTTTCAATATTACTGTGAACGCGTTGAAATTCCAGTAGCAAGAAACCTGCGCAGTGGTTAGGGGGGTGTAATCCGCTTAAGATATTCTGCACTACTCGAGAGTTGGAGAGGAATCATTTTTCGACGTCAATCATAGCCAGAAAGTGCCAAGGTTCTGTACAGACACGCACTGTTTCTCATAGAATGATGGCCACAGTGATTGTGATGCAAGTTGCAACAAATTCAACATACAGTGCTGACTATACAAAGGTGTGCTCCTCCAGAACTGTTTGTTCTGATGACGCGTACCCACTGCCAAGGACTACTCTCGCATAGTGCTAGGAATCTGGCCAGTACTACTCTGCACAGTACTATTTTGGCTGATATCGGGTTCCCTATCAGCAATCCAAAATTTGGTGTGCTAGATGTAAGGTTATCTTCAGTAATGCTCCGTATAACTTCAGCCAGGTCTGCCATTTAGCATGGTTCGATAAGATTCACGCCGGTATGGCCAGAAGGAACCATATTCTTAGTTATTTTGATACGTAAGGTGCAGACAAAAATTGAGCAATCGCAGATGACTATACCGACACTTGGTGCAAAAACAAAAAAAATTGTACAGGTGGGCTGGTTTCTCGCCGCTGGAGATTGTCACGCCACCGAGTAACTTGAAAGGGACCTCGATTTGTACATTGGAATTATTGATGAACACCGTTTCTTTCAAAAAAAAATAAAGAAAAGAAAGGATATATCTTACTCATAAGGAGGAAAAAGATCTTGCAAGATTTGTGGGAAGTGTTAATAGAGTAACATGGCCCACAAAAGATTACCTCTCACCGTGCAAAAACTTCAAAATTAAAACATATTCTACAGAAAACTAACTTTATTTGTAATAAAAAAACAAATTATTAATTCAATCAATACTTTCTTATTGGCCCATTGGGCCATGTTAATATTCTTTGGAGATTTATTGGATGACATATTCCTTGTTCGAGGCCCACAATTGAATAAACTACTAGAATGATTCTTTGAACTCATACATAGAATTGAGAAAGTTCAATTTTGGAAAGAGCAATCAGTTGACCATTAATCAAAATTTATGGGTAGTCTCAGTCAGTTTGAATTGTTTATAAGATAATTCATGGCCAAGTTGCAAGTAGTGGATAGGTGGAGAGATAATGAATTTACTATTGCTGACATTTGTATTGTATGTTCATAATGCCATGGATCACTTAATGACGTAGACAACGACACAATACAATTGATTGTGTACATTGTCAGAAAGAAGAAATGAATCTTAGACTACGTTGGGAAAGACAAGATCGATAAAGCATTAGAAAGAGGACCTACGTCGCCATTAATTCTCCTTAACTGGTAAATCCACTTATTAAGAGTTCGCACGGAAAAGAAAACGAAGACAACTCGGTTATGTTATTAGTTCTACTAAAAGCAAAATCGAGCATCTCCACATGCCAGAAAGTAGTGGATGCGAAAAAGAAAAGCCACGTATAGAGTAGAACACCACAACCACGTTAATCCTGATGCCTCAGGATTTTCAAGGTAACTGAGCGTTTCTGGTCAGAAGCACTCAAAAGGAGTAGATCGCTGGCACTGGGCTTTCATGCCGTTAGCATATGAAGCGAAGTTCTTCCTTATGATTAATCAAAATTGCTTACTGATAACGCCCTACAAAATCTCTAGCTTTCGTAAACAATACAAGAGACTGTGCTTCCACTTTGTATGATCCTGCCAAGAAGCACATGCTCTCACTTCAAATGATTTTCTAACCAAAACCTGTCTACAATGTGCACGTATCTACCGCCCTCTAGGAAGACAATAAGTTGTTGAGAGCCCAGCCCTAGACTCAACATCTCAAAACAACTCCTGCTAGACAAAAACACTTGTCAGCTGGTTCCTAAAACCTAGCGCAACTCTGTGTTATAACCTAGAACTATAAAATTACTACAACCCGGCAGGGAAGTTATTAACTTGCCCTTGCTCTAGTACATTGTTTCCATTTGCCTTGTAGCTCACTCTCAACTTCATGACTAAAGCTTTCTGCAATATCAACACATGTAAGAACGCTGAAGTGAGCAAGCTGGTCGTGAGGAGCACCTAAAATCAAGGTTTACCAACACATGTAAAAAAGGAAGTTGAAAAAGCACTGAACGAATAGTACCTGCCCATGCATATTGTTGGTGAGTCTGATCAATTGTGTGACTGAGTTGGTTGAATTAGCAGGAAGAATTCCACTTGTAGCAGGCTCCAACTGCAATTGCATGAACTGCAGTAAATGGTCCAAAGTGTTACATTAGATTCTTCAAGAAAAATACAATGTAAGATTTAACAAAATTGCTATTTCCACGTGCGACTGGCTTAAACAAAAGGATGGAAACTGACCAGACCCAAAATATTCAAGATGAGTAAGGGATCCCAAAAAAATATAAGCAATAAGAAAAAAATATATATATATATATAGTAATAAGAACATGAACAAGTGGAAGTAAATCGTAGGAAGTGGTATAAAGTATAAGAGACTTAAATCTCAACATCCAATTTCTGATAAGAGCAAAGACAATAACCTTTGGTACTGCTGCCTGAAAGACAAAATCTGTGTAAGGATTTGATGACAAGTTACTGTAGAAGGCCTTGATGATAGTAGTTTTAGGTGAATCTGCAGGTTTCGTGAAGTCGAATGAGATCTTTAGTCCACTTGTTTGCATGGCAACAATGGTCGGAAACCCTGAAAAAGAATCACAATTCGAACAAACTTCATAAGTTGAGAATCAAGACCTCAGGCCACTACCTACATCGGGATTTACAGATGTAAAAAAGAGAGGAGGCGACTCAGGCACACCCAAAAAACAGTTTACTAGGTATAATTTTAACGAGCAAGTTTGACTCACCAGGAGCAGGATCAGGAGAAGGCACTGATGCAAGCATTGCTGTAGATGTAAGATTTGCGAAGGGATCCACAACTGCGGGCGGGCCTTTAGGGGTACCTCCACTGAGAGAGAGGTTACCCAACGGAATATTTCCAAGAGGATCAACATCCAGTAGACCTGCCAGGGGAGCTGCAGCAGTAGATGTAGGAGCAGATGTAGGAGGAGCTGGCCCATCTAGAGAGAGAAGGTCCAACAACATGTCGGCCCCTCCTGCTGAGTGTTTAGCTGTGAAACAATAATATCAAGCTTAGTTTACGAAAACCATGGACTTGGAAGGACTCCAAAAAAAAACAAAATCATAAGAAAGAAACTATTCCCGGCTTCATCGACCAGATTACAGATGCACCTTTAACTGGAATTAGAAATCAAGGATGCACAATTGGATATCGAATTAAAATTGTGTCACGAAGTTTACCTGAAGAAGTAAGAGAATTAGAGCCATCCAAAGGACCATTACCAAGGAGATCCAACAAGGCATTTCCTGAGGAGTTCGATGAAGTGCTTGGCTGCTCATCAGTAAAGCTAAGTAGATCCATAAGGTTGGCAGTAGCAGCAGGTTGTTTTCCAATTCCATTTGGTTGTTTCAAGTGCCCATTAGCATCAGATTCCGATGCTACAGCAGCAGCAGTTTGTTGCCCATCAACGCCCATTTCATTCTTGGCGGAATACGTAGCTTCATCCAAAACAGGCATCCTCTCCAAAAGTGTTGCCCTGAGAATAACATCAAGAACCAAGCAACAATGAGCATGAATACTCAGGACAGATAACCATTGACTAAGCACAACTGATAGAACAATGGATTTCCATAAGTATTGTTCAGTGGCAGTAATCCTGGTTGGATTCTTTGAGAATTCAATCCCATCGAGTAGAGTTATTAAAAAACACAATCTATTGGATGATTTGGTACTGACAACAATCTCAAAGGTGACGTACCTGATGACCCTATCTGAAAGTGTATAATTCTTTCTACAAGCACCATACATGTCAAGAAATGAACAGTAGAATAGGTGATGAAACTAACTTCAATTCACTGTGCTTGGTAAGGATTGACCCGAATTCAATAGCCCGTTGTTGCAACTCCAGTACCAAACTTCCTTTATGTTCTAAAATCAAGTTCTTGATGCGGCTGCAGAAAAACGAACACAAAAGAGCATTAAGACAAATATGATGTCTGCGATAGGAAGAAAGGAAGAAAGAAAAAAAGGAAGTGAAGTAAGAAATAGAGGTAAAAAGAAACGAAAATCAAAAATTTAAAAAGACAAAAAGACAAGAATGAAAAGATGGTCATAGTATGACTTGGAAACTCTCATCAAGACAACAATATCATGAATACGTAAGGCTCATTAATTAATGAATGGTGTCCTATGTCTGTGATTTACTCTGCACAGGTAGGTAAACGAGTTGAGAGTTTCAGAAGCGCCGTAAGTGCAAATGCTACTGTGGTGGGTGTTACTCTCGAGTCTTTTAAGACACTTTCAACAACATCCACAGCGTCTGATTCTGCAACCTGTTGAAGCATGAAATCACAACATGTTTATCCTCGAGAATTACCCCTCAAATTTACAAATCAAAGTCATTCAAAATATGCAGCAGAATAAACATATGAATTTTAGACAAGGTACGATGTAATTATTGCAAACATTACTTACTTCTTTTCCATTTAATACTTAGAAACCTGATGGTATAAAGAACATATGACTGAAAGCACAAATTCGAGCTGAATCCATTTCCCCATATACACATATAGATAAGTGAATCTAAAAGGAATTAAGAAAAAAAACTTACAGTGAGTGGATCTTCGCCTTCCAATTCATTAGCACTGTTAATTAAAAACTCTCCATACTCACCAATACACCAAACAGTGACTTGTCCAAGACTTTCCTGCACTCACAAGAATGAGCGTGGTTACCATTGCCGGATAGAAAGAGGGCAATGCATTGGCATACTCGATTATCATGTCGTTAAAACTTCAGACCAAAAGCAATACCTGCCCATCCCACGCTTGAAATACTCGGTAAAGGGTTCGAACAACATAGCCTTGAAGATCATTTGCATTGCTTATAACGACTACCAAAGACCTGATCACTTCATTGGTAACATATTTCCCAGCCTGTACAAGACATCAAAGACTCATTATTGATACATTGAGCAGTCAGGTATACCCAGACAGGACTGCTCCGTTTGAATTGAGATAAATACTTTGATGTTACAAAAAGTAGCCATAAGCTTGGAAACGTTACGTAACCAGACCCTGTCCCACTTATTATACTCTTCACCCAAGAATGGAACTGGGAGGACGACTTCCAACATCCCAATCCAATCTTACTAAAACCCTTTACTTCCTGCCATCTACCAACAGAGCGACCTCAAAATATTGTGCCTAATTGAAAAACACTCGGAGGTTAACCGAGAAATTCGCAGGGGTCTATGAAGTATACAAAGTCATCACATGCGTCAAATGGAAAACTGCAACTGCATACCTCAACCATGAGCAATATCATCTGATCAATGTACCACTGCTTGTTTGGCGCAAATCTGCAAGACGTATACAAACTTAGTGTCTCTACACAACTTTCACGCCAGCGTGTCTTAAGCAAATTAAACACCACAGACCATATTAAAAGTCAAGCCCCTCACAAAGTTGAACGCAGACAACTGTTGCATGATAACAGAAGTTCCACGAACGTGATAGATGCCCTACTTTTGAACAAGTCCAGCTATCCTTGCAGTGAGGTCTCCCTTAAAGTCAGGATCACTGACTTTCAGATATTCAACCAACTCCTTTGTTAAAACCTTGACGTTGTTTTCATTCACCAAAGCACAGACAAGCTCCAAAGCTCGTCTTCTAATGGAAATATCTGAATCCTGTACAGAATATAGTCAGGTCAATTCTGTACTTTTTATTCCATACTAATAGATGAAATCAATAATCGATCAACATGAACCATGAGCCCAGACACAATCACTGACAGAACAGTGCTTGTAACACTCCTACCCAAATACAGATCCTTAAAACCTGCACTTAGGCACATACTCATTACGGCAGACGGGCGAAGGCACTTAGCAGTGAATAAAAAAAATTAGGGGCGAACACTCGTCGATTAAATCACACCATGATATTAAGAGGGGAGGATTTCATGCCTTCACACATTCAACAATCGTCGTACGATGCCGCTGGACGGCTTGAGTATCGACTGATACGACCTTGACAAGGGTGTTCAATGCTACATATCTGCAACCAATGTTCACAGGGGCAATGCAATTTATTTCACATTCATGACGCAAGACTTAAAAGAGTACATCTATGCAGTTCTGTAAACGCCTCTAAAGCAGAGAAACAACACGTAAAAAGAATCAAATATAAAAATGAATTTTCTGAATGCCACCATATCCTCGAGAGAGAGAGAGAGAGAAACCTTTCTTAAGCATGGCGCCTTAAGAAACCAAAGTGAAGACAGTGACGTCAAAATAAACTATACCTTATATTGTTATCACGATTAGCCAAAAAGCGACCCAAAATGTTGATAGCCAATACGCGAAGGCCTCCAATAGCCTCTACGGCCATGATTGTCTGTACACACTCGTATAAAATAGCGTTGCCCGCATTCTTGTTGCTTTCTGTGTTCGTTGCAACCTACAAGAAAAATTTCCAAAACGTTCGTTACGCTTACAAGACTAGATATAGGAGAGTGGAGGAGGCTGTCGGAGTGCAGATAAAGTCGTGTCGACTACTTACCTGCGCAAGGACATCACTCATTGCATCGCTGACATCGGCATCACCATTCCCAAGTAGGCGCAGCAATCTAAGAAGCCTGATTTGTAAAAAGGGGTCTGTAATTCCACTGACATCATACTCAGGAGCATAACCACTGACAACCAGGTTCTTCAGCACCCGGACCATTGTCGACACATGCTGCACAAACAAAACATAAATTGGAAAACCAATAGTATTAATATTGTAACAATCTTCCGTGAAAGTAACTAAGTATATCTCAGGCACATCAAAGAGAAAAATCCTCGCAGGAAGGAATAAGATCCTGATCGACAAACTAGGTTTGAAAACATGCGACACAGTTGCACACACCTTCCTAAAATGTTCAAGGGCTAGCTCGTTGGATTGACAAAGCTCTGTACAAAGCTTTACTCCTGCTACCAGAACCCCATGATGCTTGTCTGTGAGAAGTCCTGTAGCTGGAACCGTCAAATACTCAACAAGGTCCGGCACCTTCCGAACGATCCTCACGGAACACAACGCTGCCTACAAGACCATACAACCACCACCAAACAAATGAGGACAATAAGCTCACTGCTTCTACACACCTGGAAAGAAGATGATTCCTACTGTCATGCAGATACATGGGTGTAGCAAAGTGATGGCTGCAAGAAGCCTCAAAGCTTTTTAAGACGAAGTAAGCCCGCGCTAATGAAGATATAGAACTCAAATTTATCACAACCGAATTATAAATGTTATTTAGCTCTCCTAATTGAACATAATTATTACGAAAGAATTTAAATTTCTCAACCTTCTTACGAATGTAGGAGTTGTTGCTTTGTAAAAGTTTTTCAACTTCTGGAGCAAGATCCCTAGCCATTTCAGCGGTACAAATATTGCCGAGAGCGCAAAGTCCTAACCCAACAATAAACTGATTGGTGTGGCCCAAGTCACTGCGGCAGAAGCAACAATCACGCGTGAAAATGTCAATCACGCTGACGTACTAATCCAGTGAAAAATACACTACATTGACATGAAAAGCATGAATTAATTCTTCAAGAACCACTGAGGTTTTTCAGGATAGTACAGCAGGCATGAGTTACCAGTTTTTTCATGTACTTAGGGTTATATCTAAACCATAAACTCATCACATTAGCAACTAATAGGACGGAAGATAACAGTGTCATACTTTTTCAAAGAATTGGTAACCAACATCAACACTTCCTGGCGCTCATCAAGCAGTAACATGAGACCCAGGTAACCAATTCTTTTCTCAGGAAAGGAGCCTGCAGCGATCAACTTGATGCATTCCATCTGACCAAAGTGAGTGGGATAGCCCAGCATATGGATGAACATAAGCTTGGCAACGTTGCGGTGTCGATAATCCTGGTCATTATCTTTAAAAGCATTTCGAAGTAAGGCGCACTCTTTTGCAACTACACTTCTCTCCTCAGCTGCAGTTTTACAAGCTCGAATGGACCGTATCATGTCCCTGCAGTGCAACAAACAGACGTCCACAAATATTACTAGAAGTTTCCTTGTAAACTAGAACCTGTTGTCAACGTAGTGTCGCATTCGAACGGACAATTAGTGAATTTGAAGGTTGACCAGCACATCGGATACCACCAAAGCTAGCTACAGATCAACCCAGATACATACCCACTTCGGTGCAATACAACTTTACCCGCCTTGGCTCTGAACTCGGATTAGTTGCAAAGGAGTAGAATTATTTTCGATGAAAAAGCCATGCCCACACATGAGACAAACTCGCAGAGTCTCAAGTAGTAAACACCACATTAAAATTCAGGGTTATTTTTATTAAAAGTGACACCGAAGGTTGAACAACATTCCGTTTTGGGGCCCAATATTCTAATATAGTTTGTCATAGAGTAATACGATAATAATTATTCGTAATGAATATTTTTCTACTAAGATAAAGAGAATAGTAGCTCTCAAAACATATGCACACTTGCTTCCTAAAACACGTATCAATTAATTCAAGTAACACAGCACTCCAACTCGGAATTATTTGAAGGAATGCTCCTGACTGCAACTGCAATTTGCGGATCACGCATCATGGGGCAAAAAAATGGCATTCACCAACGACAAGGTAAAATTTTCCCAGAAGAGTGGACTCTCAAGAGAACAGCTAATCAACACTGGCCTGCTACCGAGACGCCTAAACTGCTAGTAAGGAGAAGTGATCCAGACTGACAAAATCATGGAAGGCAGAGCAAGACATTCTGAAATATCTAGATGCAGGATCATGTCCTAAAGCCACTCGTTGTCAAAACCGAACAGGGATCCAAATTGAACGCACCTCAATCTGCTCCCCATTGTGAAAGAAATCTTCACCCCCAAGCCAACGATCCAAGATCCAAAACTCCCTTAAGGATGCTGCTCCTACGTGAAAACCGACCGTCAACCCTCTTGAAACCTAAAAATTCCAAAATCCCGCCGCGTGTCTCCGTCCATCACCTCTGCCCATCCTCGACACCCCTACATCACGTCCCCCCTACAGAGTCAAACTCATCGTCTCCCCTCCAGATCCAAACTCCACTGCCTCCAAAGCTTTACAGCACGAACACACAACCCTCCGTCGCCCTCGCTATAGCCTTCCTCACTCCTTCAGCATCATCGCAGCAGCATTCACCGCGTAATCAAACCCGAAACCCTAAGGGATGGAATCCGAGGCCACTGGTAATCAAGAACGAGCTGGAAACGACCAACAGCAGAGGGACAACGAGATACACAGCTCAACAGAAGACGATTGCAGTGAGGGAAACGAGGTCGGAGGTGCGGGGGCGAGGAACGTAACCAAGCCCTGCCCTGCAAATGCAAATCAAGCTGCAGCCACGACTATGGCTATGGAGTTCAGGATCGTTGCTTCAGAGCCGAAAGCGTTTGGGAAGGGAGAGATAGCAAGGGCGAGATGCCTGGCACATTGGTAGATATGACTCTCCTGGAGATCTTGATCGAAATGAAGATTCTAGGGCGGGACATTATTGACCGGGTCTGCTGGGTGGACATCCAGGGCCAGGTCTGGTGGATAGACATCCAGGGCCGGGTCTGAACGCCTCGGGGTTTCTATTGCACCCGTCTGAATTGCCCTGAACGATTCCCATCAAGTGCTAATCTATAAATAGCGATAAGTAACTAAATTTATATAAATTAATAAATTTATAAAATAAAATAAAATAATCTTTGGAGCATATTATTCTACTAATTCAAAAATATTATAATAAAAGATTGTTTTTTTACAAATTACAAACTTATATGTGTAAGGAAATGTGTAAGACTATGGATATGATTGTGTATATAAATATATATGTAATAGCATTAGAGTTTGCTGTTGTGCAACAAGGACAATATGTTAAATCAATGGGGTTTTAAAAGCTTTGAGAGAGGTGGAAATCAATTGTTACATAGATATTTTTTTTCAAAACGACATTGTAGCAATAAGACTAAAATAATATAATGTCATGTCTCCTATATGTCATAAATGCACAATACAATTGTAGTGCATGCAATTTTTTGTATTAAAGTTGGATGTTAGGTCTTTTTTCTAAATTATATGTTTATTGAAATGCATAAATGAAGTAGGAATTGTTTAATAATTTTGGTGAAATTTTTAGATGAATTGATAATTGGATGGATACATGGAGAGATGGATAGCACTTTGGATGAATACATATAAACAAACACCATTGCCTTTAATATGGGGTATTGCTAATGCCACCACAATTATTGCTACTACCACTGCAACTTGCCACCTATTCAACATATTTTAAATTTTAAATTGGTTTAAATTTTAAAAATTTTAAAAAGAATATATTTAATTTATTTTAAATTTATTATTAAAAATTTAAAAAGATAATTACAAATCTAATAATAGCATATGTTTATGAAATATTACTTACCTTTATCTATAAAATATTACAATTAGAATGTAAATACATAAAATACAACCAAATAATTTTAAAAATAGTACTTTCTATTTACCATTGACAAAAGGAGTGGGTGATGAGGTGGATGGGGGGTTGTGGTGGCATTAACAAAAACTATGGTGGCATAAGCAATACCATTAATACATAAAATGTATGTGTATATGCACTAGTATGATATGACAAATAATATTATATGAATCTCAATCAATTTATTGGACAATTATTTTAAAAAATATATATCAATTAAAATTTGAGTATTCAACTAAATTCATTGCGGCACAATAACATCGTGAAAAATATTATCCAGCATCAACTGTCATGCATCTCCAGTCAAAGAATTTGAGCTGTGGTTCGTAGTTGAAAACAAGACTGAATGAATAATGCATAGAATCTTTATTCGTGTAGTGAACAGCGTGAGACTAGTTTAGTTTAAAGATTTTTGATTAAGATCAGTCAGGGAAAGGCTTTTGCTGATAGATGACCCCAGTGATTTGCCATTTCAAAAGTAATACTATATTTAACACTACAAATCACAGGTGAGTCAACCAAGAAACTTTCGACTTCCCCAATCCTCTCAAATTTGTTTCGTTGAAACAATTGTATCCACCTTGCTCCATGACGCAACATCAATCTGAAAAGAATGGAACGCATGAAAACAGCCCACCAGGTACAGTTTTATGAGGTACAACAAGATTTCAAAAGTAATGACGGTATTAAGTTAATAGGACATTACCAACGTACAGTATTTCAAACCAATCAACGACGAGTTGTGAAGTAAGGGTTCGAATCTATAACGATTTATTAAATCAGTATCATAAGCTGACTTGTACAGGCCCATTAGATGTAACCTATGTGCCTCACGTCAAGCACAATATCTGGCCAAAACCATGTACCAATGTAGGGAGTAAGTGAATCCTTTCCTTTGGATTTCAAATCTAGAAATTAGTAACAATAATCTACTCCCAGTAGTCATCTATATGCTGAAATATTTCAGGTGTAAGAATACCCTAGTTCAACCTAAAATACTTATCATCACCTCCCCAAATCCACATGTGCAATCTCGTTAAATTTATAAATGAAATGGTCCTATCCTCGCCTAATACTACAGCCGTAATCTGTACACTCAGAAGTTCACTCACCTCCAGTCAATGAGGAACCACTTGTACAACCTGCACATGTGATTACAAAATGTTTCAACTATGAGATCTAGAACTAATATTCCCAGAACGTCATTACGAAAAATTGATACTGCTCATTAAGATAACACCTGAACTAAGGATCACAAATTTTAGCCTTAAACGTTCAAGGTGACATAATTGGTCATATGTTCAGTATACAGGTCAACTGGGCTTTTAAGGATGATAACAACATTCCATTCAGACTGGGTAAGGGCCCACACGATGTACAGAATGATCATAGTCTGATTATATCACTAAACTACAGATAAACAGATCCAACAATAAAACGAATCCTCTCCTCCGTATGACTCTAGACGAAGGGACAAAGAACTTACAAGCATTAATTTGTATGCAGTGCTGTCAAAGCAGATTCAACTGAGAAGATGCTTAGATGCAACAATAAAGATTTCCTTAGATTCAACACGTTATGACAAAAGTGGCGTAGGGCCATAAGACAATTTCGGAAGTTTCTCCACCCTGCACAAACATATGAAGATTGCATGAAGTTAAACGAAAAACTCTGCTTAGTAAATTACAAATTGATACACAGTTGGGTTGAAATAAGACGAGCAGAAAGCTTACTTCTGGCGGATCTTGAAAAGACCAGTTCCTATGGGCATCGGAATTCCCATGATAATACATTCACTAACACCTTCGATCTTATCAACACGCCCGTGAATAGCAGCATCAAACAAGTGGTCAGTGGTCTTCTCGAACGATGCCAGCATAAGCACACTATCTTTCATCTTTGCTATACCAAACCTTGTGATTCCAAGAACTTCACCCTGTGTCAATGACATCAAAGCACATAGTATAAAGGTTTTAGACAAACCAGACATACCACCGATAACTTCTCAAAGAATACTCATACATGCATGCAAAGCTGATTCACAAAGTCATCATGATACAAATGAACTTGTATAACAAAGGGCATAGGAACCAGACATCGTAAACAGTATACACCCAAATCAAGAATTTAATAACGACCCGACGAACTGTTCCGATCAACACCAGGCAGTATACACAACTCAATAAAGACGTGCAATATGAACGCCGAATTAAAAAAGAGGGAGATCTTCACAGACACGAGACGCTACAATTCACGCTATCGGACCAGTGCAGTTATGTGGAGGAAATCCCCCAGGACAGAGCATCACACTAGACACTGCAGAAACATGAGTCTTTAAAACTCTTGGATATTACAATTTTGGGTAAAATGAGAAAATGTACATATAGGTTGAAGTTTGAGTAACAGGAGAGAAATCGAAGAGTAAGATGAATGACCTTGTATGTCATAACGTCGGCAAGTAACATCATATGCCGTGCATCGATGGTCATTCCATGGCTGCCCATAGTATACTGAATTTCATCAATGATAACATTCCTTGCTGCCTCTATTCCCAACGTCTGCTCTGCTTCTATGACATGGTTGCTCTTGGTGAGTTTCCCATTAACTCCAGATATGCCCATAACAGCCTTCAGATTTGTCCTGATCGACGAAAAAAAATCGAATTCAGACTCTCAATGCCTTACTTCCAATTCACTAGAGGAACAATGATGCCCTGAACAAGTTTTTCTGCCACATAGAAACTTCCATAAGCGAGACGAATCAAGTATGTGATACAGACGAAGCTTCTTACCCTTCCACTAGAAGATTGTATACACCTTTTTCTTTGTTGATAACAGCTCGTTCAACAGATGGTATGCCCTATGGATAACCAACAGATTAGCTACAAAAACATTGTTACTACAGTAACAAAACGTGATAATAAGTTGCCCATACACATTCATATGCCTTAAGTAATGAAAACAAGGAAGCTTTTGAAACGAAGGATATCATGAAGTGAGGCAGAAAGAGATATGAGACATTCTCCCTAGAAAAGGGTAAACTCGAACAACATCATACCTTCACAATGACTTTTGGGAGCATATTGCAAAGCGAATGAAGGTAAAAGTACAGCTTGCCCTTGTCCTGATCCGGTGGTATGACAATAAGCTTGTCGCGATCCACAATTCTAATATTCTGCCATTCCAAATGAGGCCATCAATCTTGGATCTCTAAACCCTAAAATCAAATTTATTTAAAACATTTCCTTTCCTATCCACAACCAATGTGCAAGCTGGTCATCAAGTCAAATAATTTAGAAGAAGCTTACTCTATTAGATTACGAAAGAAATTATCCCACTAGACACTTCCCTAATCGCTTTGACACAACACAAAAATAACATAATATAAGCATAATAAATGTGCCCTCGCAGCACTAACCACATGCTTGAGTTTAATTTTAGGAGTTTGGACAATAGCCAGTGCAACAGTGTCAGAATTGATGTCAAGTTGAAGTGCGTCGATTCGTTTCATATCGAGCTTTACTGAAATAATTGCTTGACTAGCCCTCAGCACTGTCTTTATGCTTTTCGCTACCTGCAAGTAGAAATAATGCTCCAGGACATCAGAATAAGCTGATCAATCTCAAATCCTTCCCTGATCAAGCTAAGAAAAACCTAGATCAATGACAACTCCACATTCTTCCACTGGATATGATTATCGAATATTGTGCTCTTGCACAGCAAAGAGTGCACAAAGACTACGAACTATTAAAAGGAAATTAAGGAATAATACACTGCAACACTGTATCGCCACTAAACAGTCACGACAGTGAGAGATATACGTTTAAAACTGACCTAACGACAAAAGAAATTCAAGATAGTTAAGATTCAAAAAACGTCAGATGATATATCAAAAGACCTATGCATCATCAATAAAGCAAAATGTAAGATCAGACCTCTCCAAGCGTAGTTTTTTCAATGCGACCTTTCACAATTCGTGCTGCTTTCTCATCATTCCCGCTCACGAGTACTGCGGTGATAATGGGGGTACTGATGTTCTTCGATGCATTGATGATCTCCTTGATTCGCGGCACTCCAAGTGTAATGTTCATACTTGCCACACCAGCAAAATGAAAAGTTTTTAGAGTCATTTGTGTTCCAGGCTCTCCGATACTCTGCGCTCCAACAGCTCCCACAGCTGCGCCAGGCTCCACACGCTTCATATGATACCTTTTAATACATGTATCCAGAAACACCTGCAACAAACAAATCTTCAGCCATCACACATGAGCTATAAATGAGAAATTAACATACACGTTCAACAAGATAGTGAAAAAAACATAGAAGGCAGATTTATGACCTCCAGCTGCCGGGAGGTAAGCCCAGAAATGTAGGTAGCTGTGCTTTCCAGCAATGTCTGATCAGGACCTCCATTACAGTCAAGAGGCAACCCCAGCTTGGTCCGTGTTGATATGTTATCTTTGATACAAGAGTCCATGAATTTTTTCAATGACGTCTTGAAAGCGCCTACTGTTTCGGAAGTCATATCTGGCTTTGTAAGCCTCTCATTGAATAGCTTTTCAATTTCAGTAGGAGGGAGACCGAGCTGTCCATATGAAGGGCATGTTGCCTAATCCAAAAGATCACAAACAACATAAGGTATCCATGAAGATTAAAAGATAAATAAAACAGGGTGTTCTTCCATTGATCTCTCCATTACATCCTGGAAACCTGACATTTCTAAACAGTACGCTAAACATCAGAAATCCATTTAAAATCAAGTGAACACGTAATAGCATTGGTACCGAAAACAAATTGAATTAAATTAAAATCAACTTAACAAAGTAAAGAAACTAATTAGTTTCAAGTATGACATCAGAAATATAGACTTGCACGATTGATAAGCTACAGCTTTGTCAATACGCTATTTTAAAAGAATTCACGTGCAACCTCGTCACTTTCTAATAACCATCCTCAAAAAAACCAACTGAAAACAATGAAAAGGGGTTCAACGTCGTACCTTAGTTTTCATGAGCATCCGGTCAAGATTGAATGGAGCTCCATCTTTACCCTCCATGTATACGGGATCCATACCGTCATCTCCGTACAAAAGTTGAACTATTCCTCCACTCGAATTTCGTACAGTACCATCATACTGCGCAGATAAATCCTCCAAAGCTTTCATCAAACGACGAGACATGTATCCAGTTTCGGCTGTTTTCACCTGGTCAAGAAAGTTTACGGAAAGTGCAAAGCACCACATTATCAGAAATTAAAGCACAAGATACAACCATCATCTTGATAGATATTTAAGTTGACGAACCGAAAGCACTTGCTACATAAACAAAACATGTTTATGAAAGGAATCAAGTGAGAGCCACCGAAAACGTACTGCGGTATCCACAAGTCCCTCTCGTCCACCCATAGTGTGAAAAAAGAACTCAGTAGCAGAGAGCCCACTGTAAAAGGAGTTCGCAACAAAACCCTTGCCCTGCACTCGCAAGTTATGATCTCAAATTATTACACCATTAAATAAGCATAAAGAATGTCAGTACAATCGAGCAAAATGAGAAGTAAGTCATCTAAAACATCAAATCAAAAAGCCTCGTACAAAATCCACTCTTTACCTGAGGTGTTCGATCATGCCTTGGAAAATGAGGTAACGTCCGATCAATAAATCCATTAGGGGCACGTTTACCTCCAACAGACTGCTGACCGACGCAAGCAACCATCTGGCTGATATTGATGAAAGAACCTTTAGATCCACATTCCGACATGATGAGCGGGCTGTTGCGCCAATGTAACTCATCTTTACACACCTGCAGAATATTACAAAATGGTCTTAATACCACAAAAAACACACGGCACATAAAAAGGCAATGTCGGTCACAAGAAGAACAATAAAATTGAAACCATAACAGAGACGCAAAAGAGGGCCCACATTTCCAGCAGCCTCCCGAATTTTATTCAGCTCTCCTGTGACTGCAGACTCAAGAGTCTGAGCGGCATTACAACCTGGCTGAAGCTCCAATTTCCCTTTCTTATACAACTGAATATGTTGATCACAAGCATTATATCCTTTTGTAATCTGCTTCTCCTTTTCTCGATTCAAACGATCACTAGGGGCCACGTCATCAATACCAATTGAAAACCCATGGTTTCCAATCCACCTCGCACTGCATGTATAGATTGATCCAAATGTTAAGAGCTGAAGATTCACTGATTTATACAAGTCATTGGTTCAGGTAATTAGAGATGAAGTATGTGTGTGTGTGTGTGTGTGTGTGTGAATATGAATAAATATTATTTCAATGTGCAAAACAGTGAGATAAGTCGACTGGAATATATATTCAACGACTAACGCGTGCATAACAGCAAAGCCCACCTGAGTTTTGCTAGCCTATTCATGCAAACCGCAGCTGCTTCATTGCCATAGTCTCTAAGGAGAACAGTGAAAAGGCCATCCTTATTACCATTCCCTGCGAAATGGAAGATGCAATTCTGAAGTCTCAGCTCCTCTAATAATATCAATCATAGAAAAGAATTCCAGGTAGACTAAGTACACACATCGATCGCAAGCAATAAAAAAGATGACAAAGGTTGCAACCCTAATCATTCTGTGCCTACCAACAAGGAACTGACTATGTGTATCATATTTATGGTGTCAATCAATATGAAAATCACAAATACATGCTTATATCAACAGAAAAGATGGATAGCAAACGAAACCTTTAAATACTAACGACACAATTGCAGATAATCTAAAGATCTACTTAGAGATAAACTCTTAAAATTCAAAATGCATGAGTAAACTTAAAGACAAAATGAACAAACCTAATGTAGCCTTGCCAAGTTGCCCACATATCAACTCACTATTCCGAAAATAAACGTAGCCATCAGTAGGACACATGGACCCTTTATTGGCTTTTTTATCGTAATTTTTCTCATACGAAACCAAGTTAACAAACACCCTTGTCTTAGCATTTGGTCGCACGAGAACGCTAAAAAGCTGCTTTCCTGTCCACAACTCCATGGGCTGCACACAGCTGAACGTCAATGCAATGCTCTCTAGATATATCTGAAAAACAATCGCCCTTACATTCTATTTAATACAAATGACATTGATTTAATTCCAATATCGTAAAGAAGAAAAATGTCAGCACCACTTCCCATTCCTTAAATGATGAACTTCGCAAATCAAAGAGCATGGAATTAGTACCTTGATAATGCTTGGAGTTGGAAGGTCAATATTTTCTGCTGCATCCCCCATGTAAACGCATGCCTGTGTAAATGTAGCACGATCGTAGAAAGTGTCCTTCCTTGTGAACAAGTAAGAAGATGTCAAGAAATCCTGTGTTGAAGCAACCAATATCTCGCCATTCTTAGGAGTACACAAATTGTTGGCCACCTGAAGCAAACAAGACTATCAGTACATGAAAAACACGATGTAAGAGAGGCATCAAACCCTCAATGTAGACTTTCTTGACAAGGTCAGCAGACAGCTTTAACAAGACTTAATGTCAAAAAGGAGCAGTGTACCCCCATAAGCATCAGCGCTTCAGTTCGGGCTTCCTCAGTTTGAGGAACATGCAGATTCATTTCATCACCGTCGAAGTCAGCATTATACGGGTTACAAACGGACTCGTTAAATCGAAGCGTACGCCATGGCATAATTCTTGCCTGTAATAAAAGCCGGTGTTAACAGAAATAACAAGGCAGGAAGGACAAAAATACATCCAGTACGATGCAATGTTGATCCATCTAGCAGCATATTTCCAAAGAAGGTTAAAATTATCATGTAATCTAAAAGAATAAGGATCTTACCCTGTGTGACATGATAGACATCCTGTGCAGACTAGGTTGCCGGTTAAAAAGTACAATATCTCCGTCTTCCAGATGCCTTTCTACGATGTCACCGTATTTGAGCTCAGCTGCATATCGTCTTCGATCACCAAACTTCAAGTACCTGTTATGGCCATTTTAAAAAGCATTAAAAAATCAAGCACCTGATAGGTACAAGTTTAAGATAAGAAGTTATACAAATAATGATTTTTGTTAACTTCAAAAACCGATGCAAATATAGAAAGGTTTTGCACAAGCTTACAATTTATTGCCATCGGGAAATATTATGAAGTTGGCTCCAGGATGTTTTGTCATGCCATTAATAATACGCCCTCGTAATTTGTCGATGTTATAACGAGATACCTTCTCTGGATAGGTTAAAAGCTGCGCCATCAGCAATGGGACGGCAACCTGTTTCAGAACATACAAAGACAAGAATTACTCACTTTTCGACACAAATTCAGCATTAAAAGTTCAAGTAAAGTCACACACGATTAAAATGGCGCTGATAACTGAAATGAACAATGGCGATGTCAGCTAACCTCCGTGATTTTCAGATTTGGATCTGGTGAAATAACAGTTCGGCCAGTGAAGTCAACCCTTTTACCAGAGAGATTTCCACGGAACCGACCCTGTTTTCCCTTCAAACGCTGCACAAAACCTCGAGGCTGCTTGCCAGAAGTGGGTTGTTCAGAACGAGGAACTGGTGTTTCACTGTTGATCAATTGTGAGACCTGTGACTGAAGTAGTTCCCAGGTTTCCTGATAAACACAATAATCGCCCAAAATAGGGTTATAAGCATGATTAAGGCATGTAGACAGCCCTCCTCCGTTTTATATGATGACTCGCTCCTGAACCAGTCAATAGATTAAGCAAATATTGTTGACTACACCGCCCACATAAGATAACGGCAAAAAAAATTAAAAGTTGTTCAACCAGTCATCCAGCCATCGTCAGAATAAATTGCATCAGAATATAATTGTGATAGAAGTTTGCTTCAATTATTAATTAAGGAAAGAATGCTGACTCTTAGTGCAAAATGAGAAAGTGTGTACATTTAGATCATAACTACACAGTTCCCAGTGTAAAGGGAAACTAAAACTACACATTCAAATTCAGGTTCAAATTCAAAAATTACCATTGTTTTTTCTGCAGCCAACCCTTGCTCCACACAGGTACGAAGAGAATTGTTGCAGTTCAAGATTCCCAAAAGCCGCACTGTAATGTCATCTTCATTGCTGGTTTCAATAAGTCCAGTAACACAATGATCAACAACCAAGTATGTTACAGCACAGTCCGCAAAGTTGCTCTTTGCTCTATAGATCAAAAGAATCAGCAAAAAGAATACGAAGCTTGAAGAGTGTTCTCATGTTCACTCCATGCTCTTCACTACGTTTTTAAGCAAATGAGAAAGAACACACCAATTGAAAATTTTGAACAAAAATAATCGAAAATCCTCACAAGCCCTGCAATTTATGATTAAGAAGAAGTAAAGAATTGTTTGAGTAACTGCCCGAGCTCCAAGACTATACATGTATAACTCACCTTCCAGCTGCGGATTCCATTTCCACAGAAGGTCGAATGGCCACCGGGGGCACAATCAAATGCGTTACAATTAATTTTTCTGGTCTTTCCGCTAAATCAAGCACCTCGCAATCCTACTCACACCAAACGGATAAATAAACATGTAACACCGTGTGCGTCTTGGTCCTTCACAAACGTATGAGCTCTAAATTCACGAACAATAGAAAAGATGACAACAACAACAACAACAACAACAACAACACTACTACTACTGCTAGTAAGAATAAAAATAAAAACAATAATAACAACACGTGCAGAGAGTTCAGAATACCTGTTCAATCATAGATTCAAACAGCTGAAGCACTCTCATAGGATCAAGGTTATCATAAACGCGATTAATACAATTCTTTAGTTCTGGCTTGCACTTCATAGCATCCTCCAGTGATACAATCATCTCCTCTTTTAGATCTAAAGCCTTGCCATACTTGTCATGAATAAGTTTTACTGGTGGTTGTGCCATTTTCTTCACCACCCCTGGTAACAAAATTAGATATTAATTGCCATCACTCTAATATAGTTACAGCAAAATCTTCCAGCGTCGTTGATCAGAACGGCGCTAAAAGCAGAATGAATACATAAATATAAAACAATGTTTATAATTACGATAATAATATGATACACTGTCAAAAGTTCATACCGTTATAATCTCCACAACGAGTACAAACGCGCACTCGCTTACACCTATCGATGACCTTCTTCAAAACTGCACGCCTCTGCAATACCTCGATCCGCGGATTTCGCATCTTGCGAAGAATCAATTTGCATTCTTCCTCCGGCATCAGAATTCGGGCACATGACTGCAATGATCCCAACCTCTAAAAGAATGAGGATGACTACCATAAAGGTCGGTACTAGATGAGCATGACTACTTCATACGGTAGTAAAACTAGCAACTACTGCAAACTGCGGCAACACTTGAACTGGACTTAATCACAGAACAAGCAGATCACAACCCCTCCAAACTCTTTTAAAAAATAATATAGTAAAAAATTGGACACAATATCGATAAACTGAAAACGTACAGAAAAGGGGCAAGCATCCTAATGCATTACATATCAATGCATCATCAAGAAAAAAACTGAGAGGTAGCACCTTGCAAATGCACTGCAGAATTTGGAGAATGTTTTTAAGATAACCAATGTGAAAAACTGGCATCTCAAGCTTCGTGTGTCCAAAGTGCCCGGGGCAATCGGCCAACTTTCCAAAACAAGTAGAACACTCTCCCTTCTTATTCGTTGTTCCCTGCTCATAACAGGATATTAGTTAACATGTAAACCGTATATAGAAGAATTCAATTGGATAATCATGTATTATAACATAATTCCCATCGTAGTCTGTATCCACAATCCCACTCCATTATACATCTCCAATTGTGTCTTGACAAAATTGTGAGGAAACGTTGTAGTGAAGGAAGACTCGTACCAGCCGAGTGTCGACAACTGAGTATGGAGCTGGATTCCTTTCCGGCATAGTGTAAAGCATTGACTCGTACACGTGTAACTCAGAAGCTTTGACAATATCTTGCTTCGACATTGTCCCAAAACGAATGCTCTCGCTGCAACCACAGAACCAAATTATACCCTACTCGATACTTCGAGAACAACTACGTACCAAAATCTCAAAGATGTTCACAGGAGCCCACGTTCGTACGCAGCAGCAGAAACAACAAACAGAGAAAACTCACATCTTGCGGGGTCCGACATCCTCAATGAAGGGCCGCTTTGAAAAATTGATGGAGGCATGGGCAGGAGCAATTGGCGCCCCCATGGCAGTACCGCCAATCCCAGCGGCACCTCCACCTCCCCCTCCGCGCCCCATCGCTGCAACTTTTACCGCCTCCTACACGTCGTATCCTGTTCTCCTAATTTATCCCCTCCAATTCCCCAGCTCTCCCTGCCATCCAAGACCATAACTTCATGATGACCAACATACCCAGATTAAAATATTTCACTCATCTCGCTATTTGCCACTTGTGACCTTCTGAACAATTGCCATCACCAACCTACTCGAGCATGTGAAGCGACTCATTACACTCAATCCAAGTGCTGTAGTAAGCTCAGGCGCAGGAACGACGACCAGCCCCCTCACTCACAACCACAAGATTTCCTCTACCCATCTTCTGCGTACTAATGCCTAAATTGCCTAAATTAGGGTTTAAGCGAGGAGAAAATGTATTACGATGCCCGGAAACTTCTAGCGGCACCGGCTTATCGCGCATATGCAGATGAAGATGTTCAAAGATTCTGCCCAGTGAGAGGATTAAAAAACGACAATCAACGTAGAAATAATGCCGTGGCATCCAAGTCTCGGGCCATAAAAGTCACTGTAGGGACCCCAAGGTTTTTCTGAAAGAAGCCTAAAATCAGTTGCCGATGCATCTCACAAAGCTCGAAATTCGCGTGAGAACTCCAACGACCGCCATAGTGAGCCTCAGCACACATCTGTCAACAATTTCGTGGTGAAAATGGAAAAACACTCGCGAAAAATGTAGTGCGTACCGTAATGGTTTAAGTTTCCCAAATTACGAGCAATCCGAGGAGGCTGGCAATTTGCTAGCGGTCCGTGGAAGAAGTGCAAAAAAAAAAAAAAAAAAATATATATATTTTTTTAGAATTGCAAGGCACTGTCCGACTGATCCTGATCTGAGCTTCTGGTGCAGAGGACGGACAATGCCTCGTCCCTTGCAAGTCCAAAACCCTACCATGAACAAAATAACAGGAATCTTCTTCTGAGGTTATACTCAGACTTCGTTCTCGACAATCTTCTCATCCACTTCGACGTGCAGCTTCGTCTACCGCGGTTCGTTCATCTGTCCTTCGTACATTCGTCTGTGTATACTTTTCATCCAACTGATAGATTTGGTAATAAAATTTAAAACAAACACATTGAGACATTGATTTGTGGCATTTAAAAAATTAAAAGTAGTTCTGTAATTGATCTGTGTTTCTGAAATTCCCTATTTTCTAGCTAGTTAATTGATATGTTGAAGATTTAGTGGAAGAAGTAACTACTTGTATAGAAGAATAGTTAATTGACTTACATGTGAAACGATTTTTTTTTTTTAATTGTAATTTTGCATAGAAGATAATATCAGATGGTTGATGAGTCATGAAGTACATTGTTTTCATTTTTAATTGCATGGTTGAATGATAGGTTTAGTGTAATAAGATATATCAATTGTACATATATAATTTCTGCTCCTACTCAATTTCATTGTTTGTATAGAATGCATGTTTTCTTTATGCTCCCATCCTAAATTTTGACAATTTATTTAGTTCTTTGTAATAAAATAGTGAATGATTTGTATATATATTTTTATATATGTCATATATATATATATATATATATACATAACAGCTTAGGTATAAGATAATGAGACAAAAATGTAAACTATTTAGTTGTTAAGAAGAGAATTTTAAAAACCTGAAAACACAAAGTAGTTGAGGCCCTATGTATTTCCAAGAATAAAATTATTATTGTTTGTTATCTTTTGCATCTTGGTTTTCAATGCCTTTAATCCATTTTTGAAGTGTTGATTTATAAAGTTTCATGAGCAACAATGAGAACATAGTAGAAGCTTATAAAGAATATTATTGTAACAACTTGAGGATTGTACTACTTCTTATCATATCAAAAATTGATAGCCTGAAATACTTTATCTCTTGCCCTCTTTTGCAAGCTACTAACAAAGCTCTAGACTCATCAACTTAAGTCATGTGACTAGACTATTCTTAAATCCAGTAGAACCTTTACCATTCACATATAGATATGTAATTAGTTATATGATATCTCATAGATCTAAATTCAATTTTCTATCTACTATTTCTTCTAAAGTAATACTTGAAGCCTTTGAAATTGTGAAGAATGATAATGCTACTCCAAAGTAGTAGCCACTACACTAGAATGTCACTATAATTGAAACCAACATACTAAAGTATCTATAGTTGTAACATCTAACTCCTTGATTAAATTGCCAAAGAAAGACTTGATTACGTACCTTGAAAATACAAAAACTTTACCTTTGCATGCATAGACAAGTACAAAGAAGTTAGCAAGCTACCATGCTTTCAAAGGCTCACAATTCTAAACTAAGTATGAAATATCAAAGAATTTTCTATTGTTGAATATAGTATTGATAAGTATATAAAGGCATGATTTTCAATCATAGATTGGAAATCAAAGTTATAAGTTGAAGAATAGATGCAAATGTCATGTAAAGAAGTTATGATGCATTTGCATTGACATGGACAACACTTTAAAGAACTATTAACAATGATTGCTAACCAACTATAATATCCAATTTTTTGTGGTATTGAGTAAAGTTTTATCAATTATATTAAGAAAGAAGATATACGAGCTATACAATTTACAATCTTAATTGGCAATAGTGTTTATATAAAACTTTATTCATTAATAGCTCTAATGTTTGTAAAATCTTTAGACAATTGAAAGTTAAGACATACTATTCATATGATATTACAATATATTGTCCAACTCTAAGATACAAAGATACATTGCTTTTAAGAGAAACAATATGATTCTTAAAAATTCTTCTTGACATTCTAAGCAGTGCTACCTTAAAAGGTTTGACATAGAATATAATCAAAGTAAGAATATAAGATAAAAATAGTACTTCTCATAGGAATTCAAATTTTAATAAATGTTACATTGGCTGAAAAGATTTAATTAGAGGTGTTCTAAGGAGCTCATTGGATGTTTCAATTAATATAATAGAAAATAATATAAAAAATACTACAATGATAGATAATGGTGAAGCACATAAGAACTAATTAGAAGGATCTTGATCTAAAATAATAATGTCAAGTTTTTGCAATAAAGCTTAAATAAGAGAGATTATAGTGAAAAAATCTCAAGATCAAAGATTTAGAGATATTATAAATAGAAAATTTTAATATAAAGCTTAGGTAAGCTTGAATGAACAAACTTTGCTGAAGTTCTTTACTAGAACCATGAGTAGACTCATGAATAGAAACTTATTACTTTAAAAAATAACTACAAGACATACTTGATTAAATAGAAAAAAAAAAAAAAAAAAAAAAAAAACTAATGTTTACAAGTGCATCAAATTTAGATTCTTTATCTTTTCAATTTTATTTTTCTTCATCGACAATTATAGCAATGATATTTATTATAATAGTAATATTTGATGATGTATCTATCTTAATCCACTAAAAGACATTGTTTGAATCTACAACCAAGTATTCTACTTCAAAAATTATAGAATTTAACTATCACATTAATAGATGAGGTTAAAAATAGTACAAATATGTGCTTTGTATATGGCTTCAAAAATATATTTTAATTATATTAAATATATTTTATAGATTCAATTTTTTAAAGAGATTTGTCAATATTGGTTTTTTATAATATGAAGACAAATTTGACAATGAATTGTTTAAATGCAAAAAAATGTTCCTCACATATTTTATTCTATATTATATAAATGAGTTGATTGTTTTATATGAAAATAAAATGTTAATTCTTTTGATCTATCAAGATGCTAGTCATATTGCCTTATTTGATTTTGATTAATTTACATGATAGTATTTTTTAAAATTGTAATTTGATTTATTTAAGCTCCAACATATCATTAAAAGATATTCTATAGGATATAAGCACGATGTATTTGAAATTGCTTTTGTAATATGCTACTAAGGATTCTTAGATTGTCTAAGCATCCCAAAATAAAAATAAACCTTATCTCTTGTTCATAACATATTACTTAAGAAAGATCCTTTAAGAAATACAAAGAAAAAAGACATATCATTTTTAGAAGAAGTATCAAGGACATGAATTAGAAAATGATGCATAAACCAATGAAATCCGTATCAAAGAAAAAGTGACAAAATAGAAATAAGAAAGTAAGTATATTAAAAAGAAACTAGAATGGCTTATTTCCAGAAAATAAGAAAACTTAAGACTCTTGAAATTAGGCTAGAAGCAAGAAAGGAATTGATAAGAGTCAAGAAGACTTCACTCTTGTCTCTCTATATATTATCTAACTAGGACCTACATGGCAATATTCTATTGGACATCTAATATGTGTTGACTTTGTAAGATATATACCTTGACTTACAAAGCAAGTTTTTTTATATGTGCGCCACATAATTAGCTTGTTTTTTAAGCTACCAACATGTATGGCACATGGTTAATTTTTTAACCAAGTTTTTAACCTAAAAGTCAATAATAGACACCTATAAAGTCAAAGAAGCATCTATGTAGCTTCTAAGAAGTTTTTTTAGAAGATATTATAGAATTAACTTACTTTTGTTTATTTCTATCTACTTCTACCTATTTATACAAATAATTATTGACTTATATGTGTATGTCCATGATATTACTCTCTTTTCTAGGTACAAGTTCTACGAGGAGCAGACTTCATATGTTGAAGAAATCAAAGATGGAGCGAATAATATTTGTCACATACTCTGATCCTTGTCCTCTTTGAAGATAGTTGATAGGCCATCTCAGCCATCGATAGTATCTCATATCAGGGCGATAATACCAACCTATTATTTGGTCATTGTTGAGGCCTTCGTAACTTCCTTCAAATAAAATATTTGAAATTCCATGAGGTGTCGTTCCTACCTCTCATAAAATTACCAAATATTAGAAGTCTCTTCGAAGGTCGTGATATCAAATGCGTTGTATCTTATCATCTATTTGAAAAAAAATATGTCTTTTTCAAGGATCTTCATCTTGATTGCATTGTTTTGAAGGTTTTAACAATTCGAATGTCTTATCTAGCAGATTAGCAAATGAAGGCTCTTTACTTGAATCCCCTGTTTTTGGTTCTCCATCTTCTAAGTATCACAAATATAAAGAAGCTACAAACAAGGATTGGAAGTAAAATGTTATCTTATCTAGATCTTATTTCTTTTATAAAAAAAAGCTTCATTTTGATTTTAATGGATGTCATCGATGAAAAGCCTCCACCTTCTTTGATGCATTTGTAGGATTCTTTATTGGTTGCCATATATATTCATTAATATTATATCCATGCTAATGAACAAGATATTCTAACTTATTTTGGTGCGGCCTTGACTCTAAGACTTCTTACAATTCAAATTCTTCATTATTGTCTACTTCTATAGGAGGAAGTGGCTCTTGTCTTTTTCTTGGTACGTCCACTAATTTGTATGATTTAAGAAAAGACCTATCAAATACTGGATAGATTTTTATTGACTCCGGTAGGTGTAAATGATATGCATCTAGATTGATTTGTATAGAAATACGAAATGATTCAGGCCTACAATAGTCCAACTTGTCATAAGGATAATAATTTTGATAATGCGATGAAGTAACTATACCTTGTCATCCACGTGGAATGGTGGTTGTTCCTTTCTATAGACATCCACTATTATATTGTGGTTTGGCTACTATATGAAAATAATGTGATTATGTATTTAATGTATAATTTACTTAACAACATCATGAGA